GCTCGGCGCAATTCCGCCTGCAGTTACGTGGGACACCGACGCCGGCGTCACACTGCTCCGACGTCCTCCGACGTCGCCCTGCAAGGAGCCCGCAGCGTTGACGACTGCAGCCCTCGCGCCTGAACGCCGCCGACTTCATCGGCGTGTATCACCCCTCGCTGCCTCGACATGCCTCCCGCGCTGCTGCCGACTTGGTCACCCACGTTAATGCCCACCTCGACGCCGCCCTCGTTTTTCACCGGTCGAGGAGTGGCCGGTCGAGAAGGGTGCTCCGCTGCCCACAAGGTGCGGATGCCAGCCTCAACGACCACCAAGGGGAGCGTCTCCCCGTACTCGCCATCAGCGTGGCGTCTCTTCGCATCAACGAGCCGTGCCTCCAGGGTATCCACTACGCCTGTGTCACCTAAGACGCCCACCATGGTGACTAACACAGCTGCCGGCCTACGAACACGATAGGTAAGTGCAAAGGTCGGCTAAACCGAAGGTGTCGTTGCGGTGCCGTCCACGCTTACCGCACCATGCAGAGATAACTCTAGCAACGGGAGCCTGACTACGGGGAAGGCACGGGGTAGAGGTGATCTCTGCGTTCGTTTCTTAGTCGTTTGCTTGTGATCTCTCTACGCACATATTCACGGGGAAAATTGGCAAGAGTTCCACTAGCAAAAAGGTTCAGAATGATGGAAACAACATTGGCAAGCAAGACTACATTAGAGTTAGCAAACATGCAGGTCGACCTCCAGCGCAGCACGGTCGACCGCACTCCAGCGCAGCACTGCTCGCACCGCTCTAGCACCGCAGAGAAGCGGCGCGCCAACGTTGCAAGTCTTCGACTTGCCAATGCTGCAGCAAGGTGGCTGCATAGTGTTGCACCCGCATGACAACGGTGCACCTGCTTCGCAGGTGCGCACGGCTGATTGGCGTGCCCAGCCTCGTTACGCTCACGGTGCGGACACCACGCCACAGCGATTGTGCCCACCAGCCACTTCGACCTCGGGATACCACTTCCGAGGTCGGCCTCGCAGAAACCACCCCGGCGACGGTCGCACACGTCACCCGGGTAACTTGGTCGACCGGGCAACCCTGTCGACCAGCATCTTCTCCTCGTGCTCGTCGATCACCCAAGTCATCGACCACGTTCCGGTCGCCGGCTGCACCAAGTCGGCGTCCCCAAAGTCGGCGCCGGGAAGTTGACGCCTCTGTGGTCGACTCATCAGGTCGACTCACCAGGTCAACCACCCGCACCTCTGCGCCTTCCAGCCCGGCCTCCCATCATCGTCGACGTCGGCGCCTTCCTTCATCGACCACGTCCGCCTGCCTCCTATCGTCGGCGGCTACGCAGTGGCCCCGAGCAGGTCGACCACCCCGGTCGAGCAGCACCGCCAAGTCGGCGTCACCCACTGCAATAGGTCAGCTGCACATCCCGCACATCCGATCAGGAAGTCGGCTCCGCCCAAGCGAGGACGGGGCCAACAAAAACTCCGTTTGACAGAGTCTTCATACAGTGACGTGGTGGAGGTTTCAATCGAGACGCCTGAGCTACAACGCTCAGAGCCTGAGCTGCGACGCTCAGGTCGAACTTGTAGGTCACCAAAGTGGCTAAGCTACCACACCTGTCCGCCACCGGCTGCCTTCACCACGGCGTACGACAACGCCGATGATGACCTGCTGTACGACAACGCCGAGGATGACGTCGGGTCTTAAAGCCCGCAGCCGCGCGCCCTCCAAACTGACCAAATTGCGGCCCAAATTGCGGACCGCGCGGGTCAAGTTTTAAAAAATTGACGAAGTGGTTTGTGCAAGCTTTGAAAGGTTGCGCACATACAATTAGGGACTTTTGGGGATTGACCCAACCCCCAAGGCAAAATACATGGGCAGGCTGGGTTTGGCAGAAAAAACGGGGAAACAAAATCTGCGAGACTCGCCAAAACCCAAACCAGAAAAAACCCCTCGCGTCAGCCTTTTCAAACTTGTGCAATTTGGGCCAAGGGCTTTAAACAACTGCCCTGGAAACGCAGGGTAGTTGGAACATTGTTGCTAGAAAGTCAAAGTTGGCAAAGCTGGAACATTGTTACATGAGGCACTCGCCAAAACCCACACCAGGAAAACCCCATCACGTCAACCTTTTCAAACTTGTGCAATTTGGGCCAAGGGCTTTAAACAAGTGCAATCGAAACGCAGGGTTGCTGGAACATTGTTACTAGAAAGTCAAAGTTGGCAAAGCTAGAACATTGTTACATGAGGCACTCGGGTGGGACAGAGGCAGCCCCGGAGCTGCTCGGATAACAGTTACCTACCTTCGATTTTCTATCAAGAACGAGCATTTGCCCCGATAGCATATTCAAAACTTTGGGCAATCCATAAGTCACAGCTGGTGATGGTCGCGATATGTGTGACTGTAATCTGGGTTGCCGTTTTCCAGATTGTTTTGCAAGAGGATACATATTTTCATAATAGCGACAAGGTTGAGAATATTTTATAAACACAGTTGACTCCATCACGCAGAGCTGCCACAAATGCTGCTGTCCGTTACACTCAAGGCCTTTTGTTCACGATGAACAATCTGAGTGACCATTACACCTTTATTCCGCCAAAAATCACTACAATTAAACGCTTTACATTTTTTTTGGGTGTGTAAGATGCATAGTTGTCGAGAAACAAGATTCGACATTAACGTCGGAAGGTTTGCATAGGCGGTGTTATTTTAGTAAGAGTATATCTGAAATGCATTGTATTATATATGAAGCGATAAACAATGTTATTGATCTTTATAGCAGTCTTATTTGTTCCTCAATAATTATTACGAGTAACATGCTTATTTCTTTTGATTTAGTTCTAGTCAACGGGGAACGATCTAGAGATTGATATTCTATTTGCTATTATAGTAGAAGTACCTACAACTAATTTTTGCAATATCTCAGTACCCTTAGCGGGTTTGTTTATTTGCAGCCAACTCTGATGTGTTAGACAGGTGCATGGACCAGCACGCAATGTAACACCCCCTTATGCGTGTGTTGTCACGTGATTTGATTGTTATGCGCCCAGATTTCAGTTTCAAATTAAGCGTGCAATTCGCCTCACTGTCCCTACATGCTCCCTCTTCGCTGACGTATTTAGGGCGTATCTCCGTTCGGGTCATGTGCACTGTTCATGCTACTGTTTGGGTCATGCGAAAATTGCGCATGATCAGAAGTGGGCTGCCGAGCCGCGCGCGGCCCCAGCTTTGGGTCAATGTGCAGGTGTTGGGCGACTGACGTGCACGACCCACCCCCAACCAATCACCTGGTTGCACGATTCTGGTTTGACTGCCATCTTTTGAGCGGTCGTCAGTCGAGTGACTCAAGTGGGCAATGTCTCACGTCCTATAACTCTGCACCCAACCACTCGGCAAGTTGACCCCAGTAACTCTCGATGTGTCTAAAATTTCCCGCAGCGCGCTCCCAACATTTGGGGATTCACGCCAGGAATTTTGACGATTGTGTTTTTTCGGTGGGTGTCGCGTGGTTTTGTGAGGGTGTCGCTCATGATCTTGCAAACTGTTCTGGCATCCCTCCATTGGATGCGACTGTTGTGGGGAGGGAGATTTTGGCACGAAAACCCTCGCGGCAATTTGGGGGGTCTCATGAGTTCCGGGGACCCAAAGTGGCGTTTTATGTTGTTTGGGTCATCCGCAAATCGCGCATGCCCGGAAATGGCTTTATGATCCGAACTGAGATACGCCCTTAGCTCGCAATTAGCCCATCATCATAACACTGTACGCTTGTTTCAAACACCGTTTCTTGCCTCGTTTTTCTCTGGCATAAAATTTTCTTGCCAGCGCCACACACCCAACCACATTTTCTTGCCAGCACCACAGATCCTTCTGCTGACAAGCGAGTCCGCCCGGGGGAGCTCGCTGCCCGCGGGCAAAAAAAATAAACCCCAGACGGGCATGCATCCGGTCAGGGAGGCATCAACCCTAAACACAGGGACGCATGGATTTAGGGTTGATGCCTCCCTCGGATGGCATGCCATCCAATGGGGTTTTAAGTTTTCTCTGCCCGCGGGCAGCAAGTCGTCAGATCGTCGGAGGGTCGTCGGCTCCGACGACCCGTTTCCGCAGAGAGATATAGCTCAAATTCTGCGCTGACTTGTCGTCGGAATTTGAGCATGCTCTACTCTGCTCCATGTGCTCGTCGCTTTACTGTCGTGCGCATTCTGTTCCGTTTCCCTTCCCAGCTGTCAATTTGAACTCTGGCTGTCATAGTCTTGGTTCCTCGAAGTGCACCTTGCGGAAATAACTCTGTCAACAAGAGCTAGACTACGGGCTACGCACGGGGTAGGAGTGATCTCTGCGTTCGTTCCTTAGTCGTTTGCCTGTGTTCACACTACTTGCGCATTCACGGGGAAAATTGGCAAGAGTTTCACTAGCAAAAGTTCACAACAATGATGTTCAGAATGATGGCAACAACATTGGCATGCAAGGCTACATCAGAGCTAGCACAGCTGCTGGTCGACTTCCAGCGCAGCATGGTCGACCGCGGTCCAGCGCAGCAGAGCTCGCACCGCTCCGGCACAGCAAAGTAGCGGCTTGCCAACGTCGCAAGTCTGCGGTGCGCCAACGCTGCAGCAAGTCGGCTGCACAGCGTTGCACCCGCAGGACAACGGTGCACCTGCTTCCCTCCCCGCCATCGCCTCTCCTTCCCTCCCCGCCGTCGCCTCTCCTTCCCTCCCCGCCGTCGCCTCTCCTTCCCTCCCTGTTGTCGTCTCCGGTGACAAGTGCACGAGCGCAAGCGCGAGTTGGTTCGCGAGCACGGGTCAGTGCGCGAGCGCGGGTCAGTGCGCGAGGGCGGGTTGGTGCGCGACCGCAGGTTTTTTTCTGAGGCACCGTCATTATCAGGTGCCTTCCCGGTCCTTTCATCCTCCCTCCCCCCTCTGAAATTTCCGCACCCCCCCTTTTTTTGCTCTCTGCGTACATTTTGTCTGTCGATTGGTCTCCTCTTGCATTGCACTTTCATTTGAAGAAGGGAAGAGACGGAGCGCGAGGGAGAGCGTGTGCGCGCCCCTCCCTCCTACCCCGCCGTCACCACTCCCTCCCATCCCACTGCCACCTCTCACCCCGTCGTCGCCTCTCACTCCCACCTCCCTGTCGCCTCTCCCTCCCACCCCGCCATCGCCACTACCTCCCATCCCGCTGCCGCCTCTTCTCCCATCCCGCCGCGGCCACTCCCTCCTATTTCGCCGCTGCCTCTCCCTTCTCCCCGCCATCGCCACTTCTTCCATCCCCGCCGTCGCCTCTGCTTCCCTCCCCACCATCGCCTCTCCTTCCCTCTCCGCCGTCGCCTCTCCTTCCCTCTCCGCCGTCGCCTCTCCTTCCCTCCCCGCCGTCGCCTCTCCTTCCCTCCCCGCCGTCGCCTCTCCTTCCCTCCCGCCGTCGCCCCTCCTTCCCTCCCCGCTGTCGCCTCTCCTTCCCTCTCTGCCGTCGCCTCTCCTTCCCTCTCCGCTGTCGCCTCTCCTTCCCTCCCCACCGTCGCCTCTCCTTCCCTCCCCGCCATCGCCTCTCCTTCCCTCTCCGCCGTCGCCTCTCCATCCCTCCCCGCCGTCGCCTCTCCTTCCCTCCCTGCCGTCGTCTCCGGCGACAAGTGCACGAGCGCAAGCGTGAGTTGGTTCGCGAGCACGGGTCAGTGCGCGAGCGCGGGTCAGTGCGCGAGGGCGGGTTGGTCCGCGAGCGCGGATTTTTCTCTGAGGCACCGTCATTATCAGGTGCGTTCCCGGTCCTTTCATCCTCCCTCCCCCCTCTGAAATTTCCGCACCCCCCCTTTTTGCTCTCTGCGTACATTTTGTCTGTCGATTGGTCTCCTCTTGCATTGCACTTTTATTTGAAGAAGGGAAGAGACGGAGCGCGAGGGAGAGCGTGTGCGCGGGAGCGAACGCGTAGGAGAGTGTACGTGAGAGTGCTCGTGAGAGTGCGCATGAGAGAGCGCGTGAGAGTGCGCGTGAGAGTGCGCGTGAGAGTGCGCGTGAGAGTCCGCGTGCGCGTGAGAGTCCGCGTGCGCGTGAGAGAGCGCGTGAGGGTGCACATGAGAGAGCGCATGAGATCAGCGTGAGATAGCGTGTGGGAGAGCGCGTGAGAGAGCGCGTGAGGGTCTTGTCGAAAGGTCTTGTCGTCTGCAGTTTCAGAACGTGTGCGAACTGCGACTGAACTTGTAACGCGTCCAGTGGTTTCTCTTGTCCAGGTGAAGGCTGCGGGTGCGGCATGAAGCTGATGGACCCGCGCTCGTACGGAGCAAAGGTAGGCTGTTGCTGTTGATTTCCGCGCGCGTATGACGAGCCATCGAGACTCATTGGTGTGGCGTTGTTGTTGTTTGATTCTGCAGGTCCCGCTTGCTGGTGCTGCTCGTAGAAGGACATAAAGGAGAAAAATTTCTCCATCATACTTGGGTCGAAGCCTGAAGCTTGGTTCGCGGGGGTTTCTGTAGACCCCGCTGCTGGTCTTGTTGCCGGGTTCTCCTCCGTTTGCAGGCCAGAGGCAGGCGGTGGTGTAGGGGTAGTTCCGTGGGAGCCGTTAGAAGAGCTCCTTTCTTTCTGGGTTGCCATGTCTTCTGATGTTGTAGGTGACTTGATAGTAGTTGAATTCCCCCTGTTAGCTCTCATACCATGTTGGGCTGAAAAAGCCCTTAGGATCTTTGCAGGAGTGAACTCTGGGTAGGAACAGTGTAATAGCGGAAGCGTTTAATGATGGATTTTGAACCACCTTGCGCTAGTGTGTGAGGGCAAAGTAAGTTGTTTTAAAGCAAAGAGATACAAGATTATATATGAGTACAAGGAATATGAAAGGATACAGCTATAACTGTTTCATTCTTAATGTTGCGGTTCGATACAGTGACGACTCGGGCAACTGCTCTGTAACGAGTCAGTTGTGTGTCCTTGCTGTCGCACTGTACTGGTCAGGTCAAAGGTCGCTGACCTTTGACTTTCGCGTAACCTCCAGCGGTTACTTCAACCTCCGAGGGTTGACTCGCTAGTGCTTCGATATGCTTTGCTTCGCTTGTGGCTTGGTGTTTCGCCACGACAGAAACGCTTTAAATCAATTGTTTCCAACAGTAAGAACCGCCAAACATAAGTTGTTGTTACTTTGTTTGGGAGAAAAAGATATGCAAATGCCACAGAATAGATGAGTGCATCACAGTACCCAGTTGAGGGATGAGGCGATCAAGAAGCACGCTGCTGGCGCGATATCGACCATTCAGTTTGGGGTTCTTGAGCGCGTCTCGAGCCTTCTTCACCTCCGCAATCAGCTGTCCCTTGCTGGGTCGCCGCGGCCTCGCCGCAGCAGGCGCCAGCAGTAATGCTAGGGTAATGGCAAAAACAAAAACCTGACGCGACAAACCATGGTGCACGCACAACTAGGGCGAAGAAAGCTAAAATGTGTCAACCTGCTGCGGGGAATATTTACCCCTGATCTGGTGACTGTCAGGCAGGCACCACCGTTTTGGTTGCAAAATGGAGGGCGGAATTGTGAGACATCCACCAAGGGACGGAATATGCCTGGTGTCCATCCACCTGAATTCTGCAACATGACCAAGAGCACAAATATCGCACGCCCAGGCGAAAGAAGTTGTGACAGAAACGCGGGGTCACGGAGTGGCGAATATCTCTCCTGGCGGCACCAGACGGACGTGCGCCAAAAATTCAGGCGGCAAAAATTGCTACTTCTTATTGGCTGCGAGTCCTGTCACTATCAGGTCTGTCGTTTTCGTCACAATTTTCGACGTGTTCCCCAACATCGATTTCATCGTTCGAGAGATCCCTACACTGACGATTTCTCGCTTGGCGTTACCAACAAGCACCGCAGGGGCGCTGCCTAGGGGATTTCGTGCCACTGGGCGAGCCCCCCCAGATCGCCTCAACACACATGAACTAAGGGCGCATTCCTAGATCGTGCCTGACTCAGGGCAGACACGATGTGGAGGCTCGGAAGACCCGAAGTGGCTCGAAACAGGGGCAAATCAACATTCGGAACAGACAAATCAGACACTAAGGGCCTATGACCTGATGTCAGACACGAGCTAGGAATGCGCCCTGAACCTCCTGCTGGTGGGCCGCTCCCCAACCCCACCTGGATTCCCCAAAAATACTACATACAGTTCTTGTCACGCAAAAATCGCGCGCTTTGCCAAATGAAGTTGCGATATAACCGCAGGGTCAGGGGAGAATCTCCCCCCTGGCCGCATTAGATGGGCGTGCAAGGAAAATTTAGCGAGGCTTTGAATGCTAATCTGATCCACTACGACACTTTGTTACCACTCGCGTACGATCCTTTTCGTCACAATGGGCATTGCTCCCATACCCAATTCATCACTTCGAGGATTTCTGCGAACATTCCATTCCATCCAAATATAAATTCCAACCAGTTCTGCACTCTTCCCACATTCAATTCTTCACCAGTTCCCACATTGGAACGCTGAAAATCACTCTCAATATCAATCACTAGAGGTTGACGATAGATTCAACTAGCGCCATGGCGTCGTGGCAGCTTTCCGTTCTCACCCTCTGCTCGCTCGCGTCACTGCTGACGCCTGCTGCGGCGCGGCCTACCAAGGAGGACTTCATTGACGAATTGAAGAAGACCCGCGACGCGCTTGAGGATTCCAAGCTGAACGGCCGATATTCCGCCACCCACACGCTCCTTAACCACGTCATCCCTCAACTGGGTAAACCCTGCCGCAATTCCTGCACCTTGGAAGTTATGCACGCCGTTTTCATTTCGTTCCATGGCAGATATCGTTACTATGTCCTTCGAGTTTGGCTTGACACTGCTTCTTTTTTCTTTTTGACAATTCAGAGACCGACTGGAACCCGAATGAAGATTTCCTCAACAAAGTGGACCACAAAACTTTCATGCTGCCCGAGGACCGCGCCATTGCTTCCTCCGCCCCTGACGCGCTCGCCATGATGGTGAAAACCGGCTTGAAGCGCGGCGACGTCGACCCCTTCACCAAGCTCTTTCGCGCTCAGATGCTCGACGCCGTGTATGAGGAGGACGACCTCGCGAAGGCGTCGGAGGACGTGAATGGCCGCAGCGTTGGTACGGATCAGATTGTGGACGCGACGACTAAGTCGAAGAAGGTGGCGATTGGAAAGGGCAAGGCTAAGGTTAAGAATGCTGGGATTTTCAGGGAAAGATTTCTTACCATCCATGGCGTCGACGCGTCGCAGCCGGAAGAGTAATCCTGGTTTTTTGCAACCACGTCAAGCGTTGGTGGATAGGTCGAGTTAGTTGAGCGCTCTACCAGCTGCGCACGCTATTGAGGGAAGCTCTTCGTTTTGCTTGCCTCTTTCTTTTTTGCACCGGATTTGTGTGATCCAACGGGTTATCTAAAGTGTTGTTGTATCAAAACTTCAAGGCTTAAGTCGTGTTTGTATTATGGCAAATTGCATAATGAAGTATCACATGTGGCAACGTCATCACCACAATGCACGACTTCCTTCCTGCTGAACTATCTGAGGTATAAGCTTAGCCAGAAGTACACCCTAGATCATGTACCGTATGTCATCTGCCTTCAATCGTGTAAGACATCACAAACATTCCATGCGTGCAGTTCTGGTTCTATTTTTGAGACGTCTCAACAATATCGTCATCATGTGAGACGTGATTAGGGAGGTAGTGAGTTCCTTAAATCTTCCGTCATCTCAAAAATGGCAATTTATAGCCATAATCGCCCTCTGTATGGCTGGTTTATGGCCCGAAACTGGCGGGCTGTATACAGGCAGCTTCGTAGGCATTTAGGGTCCGTATATTCCCCGCCTGTGTATTGAGCGGAATGGCTGTATATGGTATGCGAATGCCTAGTAACTGGCCCACCGTTTATAGATTGTTATAGACATGCAACAAAAGCCTGCTTATTGGACTTGTATAAATCTGTATAAATTGCCATGACATTATTCACTTATGCCATAAATGGTATTACGTTGCCCCAAACTAAAAACAGTGAACATTATTAAAATTATTAGTTATATTTCTAAAAAAACAGTTACATTCACTCAATGGCATACCTAGGGTCAGAACTCTACCAATCCTACCGAGCTTGCTCTATCACCCTACACAAGTCCATCGAATGCAAACTCAAATCATTGAATGAGGATTTTCACAGCTCCACTGCCCATAACAAATCCTGCAGGAGCTTCATCGGTGTAAACGGCTTCACTTGCTTCGAGTCGTGCCTTGATCCAGGAGATGACGACAAAGAATTTTTGCAGCCACGGCGGCCCTGTTATTCTCATCAGAGGCATCAAATCAAGGGAGGGGTTGGCACGGCCATTGTGGTTTGCCATAGGCCACTCCACCTGCAGGAAACCATACAAGCATGAGAGCATATCTAATATGTCTAAAACCAAAAGAACAAAAAAAAACATACGGGAAAGAGACAGAAACTTACCACATGGCAAATCTCTGCGTCCATGGCAGCTCTCCACTGAGAGGCCCAAGGCCCTGACACTGCCTCAGCGTAAGTGCGAGGAGTAGGTATGTCAGGAGCGTCGGGGTCTCCCTCAGGAGCGAGCAGCATGGCACAGAGATGAGGCGAAGCGGCTGCCAGGAACTCTAGCTCAAACTGTCTATCCTCTAGGACGGCACAGCCAAGGGCAGACTCACCCCCGACGGACAGAGGACGGACAGGAGGAGCGGCCACAACACGAGTGGCGTAGTCAAGGCGACGCGTAGCAGTAAAGTCAGTGACAGCGGCAGTGAGGACCGCGACATAGAAAGGAGAGGCACGGGGGTCTGTAACAAGAGAGGCGAGAACACGAGAGAGTGGGGCGATACGTGCGGTAGTAGTCAAGGACCGGAGTGGACAGGGAGGCAGTGAGGGACGACTCAGGGTGACGAGGAAGAACAGACGGAGGAGGACTAGGACGAGACAACAGGGTACGGAGGTCAGTGAAAGGTGACGAGGGACGAGCACGAGGAGGACGAGAGGCCCAAGTGTGGGAGAGAGGAGTGGGAGACGGAGCGGGAGACTGAGAACGAGGGAACACAGCCGGAGCTGAGTCCGGAGGAGGAAACGTAGGACCGAACACAGGAGGAGAGGAGGGGAGACCAAGGGTCCGAAGGCCAGTAACAGGGGCCGGAGGCTGCTCCGGCTGCTGCTGCTGCTGCTGCTGCCGCTGCAACTCTTACCTCTCACGCTCCACCCGCTGCTGAACCTCCAACCTCTCACGCTCCAAACGCTGCTGCTCCTCACGCTCAAGACGAAGACGGGCCTGGTGTCGAGTCGGGTAGGAGCGAAGAGGAGGAGTGGTGGCAGGGGACGAAGAAGGGGAACCGGCTCCGCCCTCGACAGGACCCGGCTGAGCACCCCCAGAGCGAGTACCCCCTGCGGCAGCACGACCAGCACCAGTAGGAGGTGTACCCGCACCCCCAGTCGTGGTGCCTCCAGTGGCACCAGCACCAGCCCCAGACTCTCCAGCTCCAGAAACACCACCAGCGCCACCACCAGCTCCAGCACCCTCGGAACGGGCAGCTGCGGCAGGTGCACGCTCAGCTCCAACTCCAACACCCCCAGAACGGGCGGCTCCTGTAGGTGCACGAACAGCTCCAACGCCAGCACCCCCAGAGCGAGCACCGCCAGAGCCCTCACCTCGAGCACCAACACCCTCAGAGTCCGCAGTGGCCGGTAAAGGAAGCGCTGACGGCTGCTGCGGAGGCTGTGAGGACGACTGTGGGGAAGGAGGAGAGACCTGGGGGGGTACCGAGGGGGGGGGAGTAGCGTGGGACACACCAGACGGAGCGGGAACAGGGGGGGGTACCGGAGGAGCAGGGGCGGGAGGAGGAGGAGCTGGAGCCAGGAAGAGGGGAGGGGGGGGAACCGGGAGACCTCGACAGGGGTACCGGACGTAGTAGGGGACGGACTCGTCGAAACGGACGTCACGAGAGTCAAAGAACCGGTGGGAGGGAGGGTGGTAAAAGGTGAAGTCAGAGGAGTCCTCTGGGAAACCAAGGAAGACACAGGGGACGGCGCGAGGTGAGATCTTGTCCGCAGAGGTGTCGCGGACAAGAGCCAAGCAGCCCCAGACACTAAACCTCGACGCAACACCAGGGGACCCTGTCCAAAGACTGGTCGGTGAAGCCCCTAGCCAAGAGACGCGAGGCCAGAGGTTCAGCTGGTGAGCGGCGTACCGAGCCGCGTAGGGCCACAGAAAATGGGGCTCGCAGGCGTGGATCATGGAGGTGCGGGCAATCTCCATGACCAGGCCTAAGCGGCGCTCAGCAACCCCATTCTGCTGTGGAGAGTCTGGAAGAGTCCAGGACTGGGTGATGCCCTGCTCAGCACAGAATCTGGTGAGAACGCCGGAGCGAAACTCACCCCCACGGTCGGAGTGGAGACAACTGACACGACGACGGCGAGTACTCTCGGTGGCGAGCAGCCACCGGATCAGCGTAGAAGTCACGTCGGACTTCTTCGCCAAAGGGAACACGGTGGTGTACCGAGAGTAGTCGTCAACGACCACCAGAAAGAAACTCTCCCGCTCAGGGCCAAGACGGCGAGCGGGGCCCCAGACGTCTAAGTGGAGTGTCTCGAAGGGCTCGGTAGCCAAACGAAGGGAGGAGGAGTGAGGAGTGGCGCGCAGCCGACCCTGGACACAAGGACCGCACGGAGGAGCTGGGGACGGCGGGAGCGGCGGGAGGACTCGTGGGAGGCCTAAGACAAGAAGCTGACTGGACATAGCACGGAGACGAGGGAGGGACGGGTGACCAAGGCGGTGGTGCCAGAGGAGGGAGGGGTGGGCAAGCGACCGACACGAGCACGACGCAGCAACCTGACCGGACACAGCAACCTGACTGGACTCGGCTACCTGGTGGGACGGAGGAACCTGACGGGGGTCGGTGTGGAGGGTGTACAGACCGGAGCCCGGCTCCTGGCGAAAAGTGGCCAAGGGGGCGTACGTGTCACCGTCCACACAGACCGCGGTGTCACCAGAAGGCTCAACCCAGACCCCGACGTGCTGTCTCGCCAGGGGGCCCACACCAACCAGGTTCCTAGAGAACGTAGGAACGTGGAGGCCAGTCAGGGAACCGGAAGGGGCAGCTGGGCACGGGAGGGTAGTGGCGTGAGTCGCAATGACCGGTCCCGAGGAGGGATCAGCCAGTGCTATAGAGACTGGCGCCGGGAGTGGAGAGAGAGTCGTGCGGTCGCGGAAGAAACACTGCGTCGCTCCGGAGTCCAGTGTGAAGGAGAGAGACGTGTCCGCGGAAGGAGGACCTGTACTACTAGCTAAACAAGATCCTACACTAGCACCTACTCTAGCAACAGGCAAAGATCCTACGCTAGGTACAGGCAAGTACACAAATCCAGTAGCACTATAGTCAACATCAGCATACATGACATAAGACCTAGCATCATCCATAGGCATATCAAAAACAGAGATGCCACGAGCAAGAAGTGTCCCCCAGCGTGGCGGCGGGGGAGCAGAGGGGCCGTGGTGCAAGCGGTAGAGGTCGTCGAGACGACTGAAGCAGCGTGCAGCAGAGTGGTCAGGGCGGCCACAGTACGAGTCTCTAAGTGGACCCGTAAGGATCTAGTACTCACAGGGACCAACGTCGCGGCCGGCCGAGCGAGGTCCCCAGCTGGAGGGGGCGCCGCTGCGCCCAGTGCTTGGGGGACCCGCGGACCTCCACTGCTGCGGAGGGCCCCACGGCTGGGGCTGCTGCTGTGGCGGGAGCTGCTGCTGGCCCTGTCGCTGCTGCTGCTGTCCCTGCCGCTGCTGCTGTCCAGGCGGTGGCAACTGCTGGGAAGCCGGCTGCTGCTGCTGCTGGAACCCCTCACCACCAGTGAAAACTCCACCGTCGAGAGGAGGGCCGTCAGGTCCCGAGCCACCCCCACCACCACTCCCACCACCTGCTCCACCGCCACCGCCACTACCCGCACCACCTCCAGTACCCCCGCCGCCCTTCCCGCCCTTCTTACCGGCCTTGCCACGTTTCTGTCCGCCAGAGACAGAAACAACCGCTGTCTCCTCAGAGGCAGAAGACGTGGGGGTGGCAAGTGAGGCAGTGAAGGTGGGAAGCTGCGGCACCGCACACCCCTCAAAGAGACGAGGAGGAGGCGCGGAAGAGGCAGAGGCAACAGTGAGGAGGTTACTCTCGATCTTCGAGAGAGCAGTCTCAAGAAGATCGATAGTAAGCTCAGTGGGGTGCTTCAGGAGAAGCGCGTCGCGGGCTGTGGCTAGGC